GGAAGTGCAAGAAATCTGAAAATATTTTAGACGAAGAGATCGTAATTGATAATACTTAAGTCTGAATTCTCAAATTTTTATTTTCGCCAGAACCACAGAAACGTCTAATGACCGGTCTCGCTGAGACACCTGTATACAGTTGTGTTAGTAATGTAAACAACCAAAAAGGTAAAAAGACGGAAACATTAATTTTACAGATTTTGTACAAATTTCAAAGTCGATTTTCCAATAATTTTATATTTGTGCCTTGTCATTGTTTCACACTAAGCCCTTCAATTGTAGAGAGATTATTGTATACAATAACTCTTAATAATAGTAATAGAAATAAAGTACACATTAGTGAAAGGAAGATTGGGTTTCCTTTCATCACCCATCCATCCATAAAAAAGGAGGTTGAAGATTGAATTAATCTCAAAAAAAGAGATCACAAAAAAAGGGACATAGCGCCTACTTTTTTCATATCTCTTATAGTTTCTGAAATAACCTATAATAACGCCCAAATTTGCCCACCCTGTACACCTGTTCCCAGCATGTAATAGCCCTCTTAGTTTCTAAAATCCTTGAAGAAAACTTACCTTAAATTGTTGTCTATTTTCAGTATAAAAGTTTTCATTATCAATAATTAACAGTAAGCCAGGTTTTAAAGGGTCAACATGATAACTATCCTCGATATCACAAATTTCCCTGTTTCTTGATTGTTGAATTGTACTTTTTTCTTGTACTTCCCCAACGTTTTGGAGATACTGATTATCATAGTGATCAATGTTGCGTTGTGTTACATCATCATTCATAAAAGATGAATTAGCCGATTGGCCCCAATTTATACTAGTTGCACCCACAGGTGGTCCAATCTGATCATGAGTTGAGAAACAAATATTTTCTTGAAGCATTTTAAAGTCTTCCCAAACACTTAACAAATCCATTTGTTTAAATAAAAAGATTAGATTTGTTAAATTAATAAGCGAAAAATAACCTGACATTTCCAAATGTAGAAATGTTAACTCCAAATTATTTTTATCTAAAATCGTGGAGATATATTTCTTTAAAATATCTTGTTGTAAAATTTTAAATAATTGATCCACTTCATTAGGCTGTAAATCTTCAAAAATACAATACAACGCTTTTCTAATTTTATTTACCTTCACAGAAACCAATTTATTAAAGGGTAAAAACGTTGATGTCATATCTGCTTTGTTGTGACCTACACATTTAATTAATTTTAACATAAAATTTTACTTTAAACAAATAAATAATTACCCAAAATTTTTAAACCTTTAAAATGTTTGATAATACATAAAGCTTCCAATACCTTCAAATGCCATTCTTGAATAAATTGTCCTTCCAATTTGAACCATTCTTTAACAACACCATCAAAAGAACGTTCTAACATCTCACATGCTTTGTTGGGATGATCATACAATAAATAAATTAAAGAAATCTTATCGTTTATATCTAAATTATTGTCTAATAAACCAATTTCATCCATACTAGGTTTATGAAACATATATCTTGATGTAAAGGCAGCATCTGAAGTAAGTTGTGACAAATTCTCTGGCTTCTCCATATCAGCTAATAACAAGAAATGATTCATTAAAACAGGATTATTTACATTATTTAGGTATTTAAAGTTTACTTACATGCTACAGATAGATAATCATCAGAATCTTCTGAATCGCTGGTGTTGGAGGACGAATCGTCTATCTTATTGCTGCTTTGGGATTGGCTGGAGCCCATTATTACTTAAAAGGGGGAAGAACCTATGTTTATGTAAAATTATTCTTGTCTTATCTTTTATTGACATTTATACTTTATTCTTAGGATGTTGTAAAATACAATAGATTTTTATCTTTGGGATCTTATACCTCAAAATTAAAAGAATTAGTTAAAATTACTTACTGAGAATATTATTAAAAGTAAGATTAAAATGAATTAATATTAAAGGTGGAAACTAATGATATTACTACACGTCAACATTTCTACTAAATGATTATTCTACCAAATGATATTTTAATATTTTTTTTTTGCAAATTAATTTATTAATATAATTATTATTATCATTGATGATATAAAATAATTACTAAATCGTAATAATTTTATTAGTAATTCTAATTAATGAAAAGAAAGATTAATAGAAATTGAAAAGGTTGGTAGTTAAAATCGAAAATGTGTTGGTATTAGATTTTGACAATGACGTGGACCAATCACCTAACGTCATTTAATTGACGTGTTCGGAGTTTACTACATAAAATATTAAGCGATTCCAAAACTATTACAACTCTTTTTGATTTCGTTGATTTAAGAAAATGGGAAAAAATCAGCGATTTATTTTTTGTGCTGGTGGTATTTTCGTCTCATACTTTTATTTCGGTATTCTCCAAGAAAAAATTACCAGGGGCAACTATCCTTACACATCTGTTGATGAATCGGGACTTGTTAAAAACATAAATGAAAAGTTTACTTTTGCCCTGTCCCTCGTATTTATACAGTGCCTAATTAATTATCTTTTTGCGAAGGGTATGTTAATTGCTAAACCACAACCTGAGGATACAACTCCGACGAAGTATTTTGCAAGCACATCTTTAACATATTTATTAGCTATGATTTGTTCTAATATGGCATTACAATGGGTTCCTTATCCAACGCAGGTATAATGTGATGTTTTTTGAAGTTATTTTTCTAATATAATTGGATTTAGGTAGTTGGTAAATCAGCGAAACCAATTCCAGTCATGATTTTGGGAGTTTTAATTGGTAGAAAATCGTATGCTTTAAGGAAATATTTATTTGTTCTTTTAATTGTTATTGGGGTGGTACTTTTTATGTATAAGGATAAAAGTGGAAAAGTACAAACAGGTGGGAGTTCTATTGGAATTGGAGAATTACTTTTAATTCTTTCTTTAGTTATGGATGGGTTAACTGGCGCTGTTCAGGTAATATTTTTATATGTTTTATTTGCTTTTAATGTTTTTTATGGTATGTAGGAAAGAATGAGGGCAGAATCAAAGCCATCGGCCCAACAAATGATGATGGCAATGAATTTTTGGTCGACTGTATTTGTAACATTTACACTACTACTTACTGGAGAAACGTTTGAGTTTTTTAATTTTGTTACCAGACATCCATCAGTTATTTTAAACATGAGCTTGTTAGCTGTTACAGGCGCTTTAGGGCAATTATTCATTTTTTTAATGGTAAATTAGAAATTCAAATTTAACATGTTTTGTTTTAATGTGTTTCTTTTTAATTAGGTATCCGAATTTGGACCATTACCTTGTTCAGTAGTGACTACAACTCGAAAATTCTTCACTGTCTTAGCTTCTGTATTAATCTTCCAAAATCCTTTACTTCCAAGACAATGGATTGGAGCTGTAATCGTCTTTACTGGGTTATTTTTGGATGCTTATTACTCAAAATCAACTCCTAAGAAAAAATAAAACCCTTTGGGGGAAATGTAAATTATTTTTTTTAATTTTTTATGTGATATAACGTTTTAAAAGATATAAATATTAAAACTTATTTATATATAAAAATAAAATACTCTAAAAACTTGAGGCTAAACAATTTCACATGGTCCAAAAACTCACAACCTTTGTAGTTCTCAAAGTCTCTCTTCATGAACGCCTCCAAAACATACCCGAAAATTCCACCAAATAAAAAAATAAATGAAATAAATAAGTGGGATATATATATATTGTACTAACTAGTACAAGCTGGAACTCGCCTATTTTCCTTTGTATGTTTTTTTTAATACAATTAAGCTTATTTTCTAATAAAGGCATTTATTATTATTATATGTAGGATCTGAAAAAATTAAATAGAAACACCACAAATTTATACAAAACTCTATAAATGATGATTGACGCACTAACATGACCTATACTAAAGGCAAAACTAAATCTTACTTCAAAAATTCAAACACCAACCAACCTTAAAGTAAACGCAACCAAAAGATATACCCATATGTGTTTAAGATTAGACCCAACTCTGCACATACAACAGGTGTCCCAAATTCGTTGTCCGCATATTTATGGTAACGCTGGGGAATCTGAGCATGCTACAGAAAAACTTTTCGAACGAAACTTATAGTAAATTTTATTCTTAACAAAATTGCTCTCTTGCACTTTTACTATCAGACGCATAGATATCGAGAAAAATATGACGAATTCGTTGTTTTTTCAAATGATTTATGGTAACACTGGGAAATCTGAGCATGCTACAAAAAATTTTTTCGAACGGAAGTTGTAGTAAATTTTATTCTTAACAAAATTGCTCTCTAGCACTTTTGCTCTCAGACGCATAGATATCTCAGAAATTAAGATATAGAGGAAAAGTAGTTTACATGTCATGATCTCGTTTTTCGAGAAACTACTTTTGTCGAAAACTCTGAACAGCTATCGTCTTTTGTTTTCACCCTATTGGCAAAAACTGAAAAATTTGCGAAAGCGACAAACGCGAATATCTCACTCATTACTAGAGTGTCCATACGTCCCGGTTTTAACTTTCTGGTCCCGGCGTCCCGACAAGTTCTTTCAGGACAGTTAATTGTCTCGGTTTAACTTTAGCTGAAAGAAAAGATTGATTTTCCCGCAAATAATGAATAAATAAATTCAGTTCGTAACTATTCGTTACATATCGACTACATGCGTACTATCTCTACTACTAGGGGATACCCGGATACGAGACAGGTCTTACATTAGTGCAATAAGATCGTATTTCCTTTACTATAATTAGTAGATTTTACTTTTGTACGCATGTCGTTGATATCACGCGTGAATCAAAGGAACGTGCGCGATTCCTGGAAATCCCAGGTTCTAATCCGATAAGCTAAAGCGAAAGATAAAGCTATCAGTTTTAAAAAAATTAAAAAATATGAAATAATCTGACCATACTAATTTCGAAAAAGGACAGGTTTCACCTTTCTCTTAAAACTTAAAATAATAAAACATAAGTTGCGATTTAAAGTGTATTTTATTTTGTATAAACTAAGTAATAAATTAATAAATAAACTAAAGTAACAAATAAAACTAACTATTTGATCAGTAAGAAGGTCCATTACTACCATCTTTTAGTTAAATTTATCTTATAGATAAACCCATCTACTAGCCAATCAGAACGCGTAAAAAGATGGTAGTAATGGACCTAAATCATATAAATAAACTAATATCACGGAACAATACGGTTACATCACTTTGCTCATTTATAAACATATAATATATGCATATTTGTGCATTTATTTCAGTAGCTTCTTCAAGTTGTACGGATTTTTTTTGTACAACGTTTTCTCGATTTTCTCCGATTTTGCCTTGACACTACGTCAGACAATAGTCAAAGTCAGTAGGTAGATGATAGTATTCAAAGATGTTAGATACAGTATACAGGATATTTATAAAGCTTAGTTACTTTTGATGTTTTTCAAATGGCTTTTTCTTAAGGTTTTTAAATGGAACACCTGTATATTGTGTGCTAGTTGAATTGCTCATCAAATTCCCTTTAATTAATGATAAGTATGTCATATGTCTAAGTTTAATAGTTTTCCTGATATTTAGAATTTAAAGAAAAAGATTTATGAACACGCTGTATAGCATAATATATCTAATATCTTTGGATACTGTCATTTACCTACTGGCTTTGACTATTATCTAACATAGTTTCAAGGCAAAATTGAGAAAAATGTCGTTTTTACATAGTTTTTAAAAAGATCCTACAATGGACACATTTTGGTAAAACAATTAAATATCTCAGGAACTATGAACGCATAATTTTATTCTTTAGATCAAGGTGCTTGGTATTTTGGATAAATTCTTTCGAATTAGAAACGGTATATTTATGTGGGAAAATTATTTTTTGAAACACTCCAAGCATGAATTTGGCTAACTTCGATGTGGGTGAATTATTGAAGGCTGTTATAGGTCTTATTGGAATTTCTATTTTGTGTAGCTTTGGTAAGGAATATAATTTAGGCAGATCAGGGTTCATGCTTATGAAATTCATACTGAAGAAATTGTTTATACGTTTATGTTGTAAATGAGGGGTAAATTCGATAAGAGCATCTTTATTACCGTTAATAATTTCTTTCGTTTTTCTGATGATTGAATCTAACGGATACTTGTCCAATTTTTCATAGTTATTATTATTCATAAAATGTTCCTTTTTTTGTATATATGATTCTTTTTCGATAATTACAATACCTGCACCTTTATCTGCTTTAACGAACACAGCACTGTTTTGTTCTATTTTGTTTTTAATTGATTTAATTATTTTTTTATTTTTTCTTGTTTTTTTAAAAAGAGATTAAATCACTTCTGATGTCAGTGTCTGGTAGTCTTTTGATTATTGTATCGAAATCTATGGTTAATAATGGAAAATTGACTGTGGGGTTCATTGCAAATTTATGACCCTTATTTAAAAAGTTTTCTTCTTCTTTCGTAAACAAGATGTTAGTTATATTCTTGAATTGTATGTAATCTTTTTCTTCACCCTTCTCTTCGTTTTTTCAACAGGTGTGTTAGTCTATGAGGATTTACATTTTTTAAGGACGTGACGTGAGTTAAAAGTAAATTTGTTTAATTACGATGATGTTAATTTTGGTTTGTTTTTTCATTTAATTAAGGTTTTGACTGATGATGAAGTTATACTTCGAAACCGGTTTCAATAAATATTTAAACAGCAAGTACAAGAAGTATTTTAATTATTTCTAATTAATCACCATTTTAAATTTATCCAAGAGCTTGCAACATGGATTCAAATAAGAAATTTAATTCTGTTCATAATATAATAAAATATACAGGATATTCTATATAAAAAAATCTACATACTCTCCGTTACGCCTAAATGGAACATTCTGTATAAGTGAAAATAATTTTACGTAATAGAAAGTGGTGAGTCAAACAACTTTTGTATAAAGCATTTTTTTCTTTTTCGAACGGTTTAGCAACTATCGTCCGCTGGGATACTAATAACTCACCCTCTATATTGCCATTTGTTCAGAGGTCCAGTAATGGACAAAAAATGGATGCAAACCAATAGAATGGATTCTTCCAGACTAAATTCCATACATCATTTCTTGAATGCTCTCCAATGGATCGGACGTGAATACACCTAAGTTAACGTTGCGTCTTTCCTCTTTTGCAAAATAATACATAATGTATAATACAAACAGTGTATTTTTGTTTGCTGATCGAATAGTAGGATTATTCATTTGTTGATTTATTACTTTTTCTTGTTAGGCCGCATTTTACTGTGTTTTTAACAAGATATAATTTAGCAAAATTAATGTCTGGTTAGCTAGAAAACCATTTTTTCCTAATTTAAACAGAAAACACATCTAGAACAATTTGAATCAGTAAAGTGTGAGTTATTTTAGATTGTTCTATGTTTTTTAATACTTATTCTGTAATTTAAAACCAGTGCAAAGTGTCCTTTATAGAGTTGTTCTAGTCAAAATAATAGCTGTTCCAGATAGAAAAACTATGGTCAACTAGACATTTTGGCAGCCAAACCTATTTTTAGTTATAACTTCGTAATGCTGTATCCCACATTTTTGATTCTCTAGAACAATAAGTAGAACAACCCAGAACAACAAAGAATATCTGATTTTACCAAAAATTTTTTACCAAACCCGTTTTTTCGGTTTTCGAGTTATTATTTTTTCTATTTGCCGCTTTGAAACAATGTAGGACATTTCTAGAGCAATCTAGAACAATTCCCCGTCTACGCATGTATGTAGACGCAGAAGATAAATAAACTATAAATTTAATTTTAATACAATCTGGCCAGTAATAAGAACGTATAATAATAGATGGCTATGTACATTGCGTTGATATACTATAGTAAAGTGAGCAAAAAAAAGGATTACTTTTCAAATACAAAGAAAAATTTTAAACTGAAAAAAAAATTCTCCACGTACTTTACCATCGCCCTGTAGGCCTCTAAGGGGGCGTTGTTTGAGAAAGATTGATCTACACCATACTTGCTAAAAATTAAAATGAAACTAAAAATGTTATTTCAACAATACTGTTTAGCTTTATTTAAAATCTTACAAAACTGTAATTAAAAAATGCATTATTAAAATTGCATATTAAAACAAAAAATAAATAGTCTTTTTCTTTTCAAATAAATTATATCGAATTCATTCCGCTATAACTTAACAAGATGAGATTATCTTTATTTCTTCTTTCTATCTTGTGTACATTTGGGACAATACCATTTTCCTTTGGGTTTTGTAGTCAACCCAACACAAGCAAAATGAAACCATTCGATTGGACACTATAAAATAAAATTATTTAAACAATTCCTTATGTCAAATTTTAAGTTAATCTTACATCGGGATTATCACATCCAATCATTTCTCCATAAGACACTTGATGACATAAACAATATGTTGGTTCGTTGGGATCTACAGGCATATCCAAAACATCACTTGTATGTGTTATTGGAAGAACAGATGAAATATCAGTAACTAGAAATAAATTAATTTTATTACTAAATAAAATAAAAATAAAAAAATAATACCTGTAGTTGATTTAGCCCCACTATTAACAGAATTTGCAGTAATTCCCGTTGCTCCAACACCTTTATGTTTCTTCTTTTTATTCCCTTTTACAACCTCAACAGCTTCCTCTTCGCTTGATTGAACACGTTTTTTCTTCTCACTTTTTCCATCTTTAGTCTTTTTCCTTCCCTCTGCAATTTAAAACTAATAAATTAAAAGAAACAGATATAATCCAATTTAAATACGTTTGCTTTTTCCGATTTGAGATTCATCTTGACTCCTCGAATTTGCAGCTTTATCTTGTATTTCAGTTTCAAACCTTGCCAAATCCGAATCCAACCTTCTAATGTGTTTATCAACCAATTCATATGTTTGTATTGCTAATTGTACTTTATCATCACCATATTCCTTGGCTTTATTAAACAAACTCTGTATTTTATCTAATTGTTCTTTTCGCTGGTCTTGACTAAGAGTTGATTGATTTTTAAGGTATTCGTCCGCTTGGGAATCTATTGTACGCATTAAAGTCTGTGCTCTGGAATCTAAATCTCTCATCAATGTGAAATTACGTTGTAATTCTATTGGTAGGTGCTCTAAACCTAAAAGAAATGTATTATGAAGCTTTATTAAGATTTTTCTCGCGTACTTACTATCTAAATACTGTTCTAAGTATAACGCGGAAGTCATATTGTTGATTAACGTTACATTCAATTACACTTAACAAATATTTAATTACAATTTTATCTTAATTCTATGTTTGTTTATTTCCCTCGATTTTTTTTAGGTTAGGAACATAAAGTGACATTTCATTAAAGCGCCATCTACGAGAAAATCTAAAAGTTTTGAATAAAATAGATATAAATATTTTAATTTATTTATACTTTTAATAATGCATACAATAAAATGGATTATTTATGTTGCTTTAAAAATTTTTCATACGTTCTATTTATAAAAATAAATTAATTGCTTATTTTATTATAAAAATCATTAATTTAATCCAAAAAGTTAGGGATAGATGGCAGGAAAGTATAAAATTTTATTTAAAAATTAATTCATTTAGCTAATTATTTATAGTAGATAAATCTGTGCTCTGGAATCTAAATCTCTCATCAATGTAAAATTACGTTGTAATTCTATAGGTAGGTGCTCTAAACCTAAAAGAAATGTAATATGAAGCTTTTTCTCGCGTACTTACTATCTAAATACTATTCTAAGTATAACGCGGAAGTCATATTGTTGATTAACGTTACATTCAATTACACTTAACAAATAGTTAATTACAATTTTATCTTAATTTTGTTTGTTTATTTCCCTCGATTTTTTTAGGTTAGGAACATAAAGCGACATTTCATAAAAGCGCCATCTATGAGAAAGTCTAAAAGTTTTGAATAAAATAGATATAAATATTTTAATTTATTTATACTTTTAATAATGCATACAATAAAATGGATTATTTATGTTGCTTTAAAAATGGTTCAACGTTCTATTTATAAAAATAAATTAATTATTTTTTTTATTATAAAAATCATTAATTTAATCCAAAAAGGTAGGGATAGATGGCAGGTCGGTATAAAATTTAAATTAAAAATTAATTAATTAAACTAATTTAGGTAATTATTTATCTATTATCTATTCATCTAAAATATCATAAAGTAGATAACTCCATTGGGATTAATTTAATTTTAATCCTTTTAACCGTTTATCTCCATTTAACATCTTATTTACACAACAAGGTTAATTTTCACAAACTTTCCAAATAACAATTAAAAATAGTTTTATAAAAGATATCTCTAGAAAAACACTTACCAAGGACAATCATAAGTTTTTTCATATGGTAAATTGCCAAGTAAGTAATCCAAAACACGAGTAACATTTAAAAAATGTATATCATCTACATTAACCAAAGTTATTTTTGTACAATTTATTTTTATCGCAAATAGGTTTGCTTGTATTAAGATCAAACTTAATCTCGGGTTATTGGGCTTCAGCGGTATTGTTGATAAAACTCGTTAAGTAAATGTGTAAACGTTAACACTCGCAAATCTATTTTTGATCATTTTCTAATGAGTGCTTCGCGTAAAGGTGATTTTTTAGATGAAATCAAGCAGCTAGAAAGTGATGATGAGTCAGTTTCCATTCAGAAATTTCAAGAATCCGAAAGATCATTTAATTCTCAAGCCCCTTTATTAAACAGAAAGAGAAAATGCAATAATGAAAAAGGGTCGAAGTTCGTGTCTAAAAGAGGTTATGGTGAACTCGGCGAATTACAACATTTATCAGATCTTAAAAGTCTTTCTGTGTTAAGTGTTTATCAACAAGACGATTCAGAAATAGAAATGGATACCAGCAGGTTGTAAAAGTAATTAAAACCAATTATATATTTATTATTTTTTTATATTTTAAAGGGATTTTAGTGATAGCATAGAATATGTTAATAAACCAAATATAAACATAAATGGAATCTGTGATAATGCTGATACAAGTGATACTAAAAAGTGTTGTAATTGTTCCAATAGAAATCCCAATGAACAGTTATTAGCTTGTCCTGTTCCAACAATTTACTTCAACGATGGGATTCGATCTGTTGATTTTGTGTTAGTTTGGGATTCCTTTGAACATGATGCAACCCTGGAGAATGCTTATGTGAAAAGAAGAAATTTTGAAGAGAATCTTATGAAAGAAGGGTTAGAGTTAGAATATGAACCTGTTGAACATAATGGGTTGAATTTTGTTAAAATTCATGCTCCGAAAGAGGTGCTAAGAATGTACAGTGAAATACTTAAGCTTCGAATGCCTATGAAATCTGTAAGTTTTGTTAATTCTTTTATTTTTAAATCTATATTTTTAAAATGTTATTTAGGATCTATGTAAATTACCTAAAGGTTACAACCCAAACCGTATTTTTACCACCGCGGCATATTTACGAAGAAAGGTAGAACAATTTAAATGAGATTAATTCAGTTTTTGTGTGGTTTAAGGTTTTTACATTTTTTTGTCTTCACTTTATATCCTATGTTTAATAAAAATAAATTTATACATTGAGGATTTGGACTGGTGTGAAGTTATCCATAAATTCCAGCCATAAAATTAAAATCATTCATAATTCCGTAACCGATACGATTTGGGTCACCAAATGTCACATATGGGATGCTCTAATCCTCAAGAACAGCTTACAACCACCATTTGGTAAAAAACATTTTTTTCAAGCCCCACCCCTCGAAAAAGCGATGTTTTCACCCTGATGGGCACCTTCGAATTACGCCAAATTCTACCATATAATAAAATACAGAACCCGGTTCAAAACATCATAATCCGGTTTTCGATAAAAAAAAATTAACATTACAAACCGCGGAAGGGACTTTGTGGGTGAATTTGACCCCTTTTGAGATATCAATTTACAATTCAGAACATGCTTAAACAACATTATGGAGTATGTTTTGGTGCCGAGAACGGCTGTCTAGATAGTTTGGTCACTTTACTATGGCACGTTAAGTTTTCGAAATTTGGAAGCACCATAACTTAATTTTTTAAATGGCACCCCGCATATTTTATTACTTAGTCGTCTTCGGCGTGCCTAACATTAATAGTTTGAGAAATAATTAGGATTTTTTGAAAAATGCTCACATCATATCGATATTAACCTAGTGTGCCATAGAAAACAAATGTTTAATGACTTATTGACAAACGTCAAAGTCTGATTTACGTTGTTTGATGCTTGTGAGTCTAAAACCAGTTAAAATGGATATTAATAACGTAAATAATGTTTATACAAATGAAGAAATCCATAATTTATTTTTTGTGCACGAAAAGTGCTACAAAGTTCTTAGTAGAACTTGCAGAATGTTTAATGAAAATTATCTACATTTACCTCCGACGACAAAAGGTAAATTTAGAAGAATAGAAGCAAATTTTTTGCATTTTGGACGAATTAATCACATGCTAAACTGACCAAAAAATGTAGTAGATAATGCGACGGAAGACGTGAATACCTTGGCTTATTTCGAGCCCAGTCCCAACACCTCAATTCGAGCTGCCAAAGAAGATCTGGGAATCATACAATGAACTTTGTCGCTCTTTTCATGCATAAAAAATGAATTAAGAATTTCTTGATTTGTGTAAATATTACTTTCGTTATTGTTATCGATTTTAACTCTTTTCAGTACTAATATTAAGATTATTAAGATAATTATTAGCTCACATGCATCAAGGGACGGAAACAAGTGAGTCTTTGATAAGAACTCATTGAGAAGGCTTGTTTTTCATGGCACACTAGGCTAAATATCCATATGATATGTGTGCATTTTTCAAAAAACCCTAATTATCTCCCAAATTATTAACGTTAGGTATGGGACATATGGGATATAAAAGATGTAGAATGAGACACCGAAGACGACTAAGTAATAAAGTATGGGGGTTGCCATTTAAAAAAATGAAGTTATGGTACTTCCAAATTTTGAAAAGTTAACGTGCCATAGTAAAGTGACCGAACGTTCTAGACAGCCGTTCTCGGCACCAAAACATACTCCATCATGTTGCTTAAGCATGTTCTCAATCTTAAATTGATATCCCAAGAATCGAGTGTTCTCTTATTTTTTGAACAAATGTCTGCTGGAGCAGATTTTTCTAGAAATATTCGAATAACTCGAGAACGGCCGAATCAAATTGCAAAAAGTAAAGTAATTTATAAACCTTGAAAACAGACAAATCCAAATATGTAAAAATATACAGGGTGTTCCATTTAAAAAAATAAAGTAGGTGGCGACTTCCGACATAACCGGAAGTGCAAGAAATCTGAAAATATTTTAGTCGAAGAGATCGTAATTAATAATACTTAAGTCTGAATTCTCAAATTTTTATTTTCACCAGAACCCCAGAAACGTCTAATGACCGGGCTCGCTGAGACACCTGTATACGTATAATAGTATAGGCTAATAAAATATGAGGCGTTTCATTTAAAATTTTCGACTTTCTTGCAACAATCTATTTGACAGCATCTGAAGAGTAATCGTGCCAATGTAGATCTTTTTTTAATGAACATTGGCTGAGATATGGGGTTTTAAACAGCATGTTGAAATTTACCAATAAAAGCTTAAAACCAAAATAACTCGAAAGCGAAAAACGCTAGGTACCAATAACTTTTATCAAAGTCAACCTATTTTTTACGTGCAATTAAACGGTGTAATAAAAACTATATATATGAATTTGACCCCGATGGGCACTTCTGAAATTGATGAAATTTTAGAATGATTATTGTTTTATTTAAAATTTTGAAACGTCGTTGAAAAACAATAATAATAGTAAGAAAAACACTGACATTTAAACGTCAAAAATATTTCTGACAATGATTGCAATGCCTACTATAGTTATTTTTGATACAAGATAGCGAAATGACACTTTTGCATTCGAGAATGAAAGTTTTTTTAATGTATTTATCATCTGCATAAAAAAAATTTTAGCAAAAATGTAAAGGGGTGGTTACGTTTAGTAGTTTAGAAGGGTAGGTTGAAAGTACAAATAGGGTCAAAACGTGCCCTATTATGAGTTAAACATATTCCCCAAATTTCATTTTCCCAGCGTTTATGGTTTTTGAGAAAAAAAAATTAAACCAAAATTTTTCGCCTTTTTGGAGAGGTGTAGTTCCTTCGGGGAGCCGAAGTCGCCCATGGTTCATATATCAAAGTACCATTAAAATTTATTAAAGAATCACCTCTTGAAGTTTGTTACAGTCATTCAGATACACCCTGTGTATATAAATACAGGATGTCCCGTTAAGCGTACGGAGCGGCTGTATCTCAACAACGGTAAGGCCTAGAGGTTTGGGGAAAAAATCCTTATAAGCAAAGTGGGCAAGAGAAATACCTGAAAATTATTTTGAAGTTCGTAATTCAACCGCTAGGGGGCGCAACTGCCATAGAGATNACCTAGAAGATCTATTGTAACTTTAGCCCTCCAAAGGTTTAGGGCAAATGTAGGTCCTTAATGAACCTTAGTATTGTCCTGAGGTCTTGAACCTTTATGTCGGTAGGTAACAGGGGAGTTTTACCGAAGATGTAGACGGCCTCTGGCGACGCAATTGCACAGTATATGTTCAGCAGTTTCTGACTCGTCGTTGCATAGTCGACAAGTTTGATCCTCAGCTTGTCCAATGTGGAAGAGGTGGTATTTTAGGGGCGCATGGCCGGTCAGGTAGCCTGAGAGCGTTCTTAGATCCCTTTTGCTGAGGCATAAAGGTTTTGTTTTGCGACGGAGTTATCATACTCTTTGCTTGTCTGTGACCTGGAAGTTCTTTCCAGCGTAAGGCTATCTTTGAAACCTCCCAGTTGTTGATTATTTGTTTTAGGTGGCTTTTTTGTAGTCCACAACTAGGTTGGCGTTCAATGAAGGGCGTGTTCGCTGCCTCTTTAGCCAGCTTATCGGCCTTCTCCTTGCCCTCAATGTTGCTGTGACCTGGAACCCGCCATAGGGTAACATCATTGCCCCTAGCGAGTTCTCTCAGGTTATTGGTATACTCTCTGATCAGTGCGGAGTCGCACGTGTAGGCCTGAATTGCCTTTAAGGCGGCCCGACTATCTGGGAAAATGTTTATGGATGCACCTTTCTGTCCCTTCTGTAGGTTCAAAGCCGCGCAGAAGTTTATAGCAAGAACTTCTGCTTAGAAAATTGTTAAGTCTTACTGTCTTTGAAGTATCGGTGTACCAGGCTCGGGCTCCTCTTTTTAGTTGAGGCCCTCCCTTCGCCCAATCATCCCTGCTTCTAAATATGACCTTATACGGTTGGTTGAAATTGTATTCCGTCGGTATGAGGTCCGTTTTAATTTCAATCAGGTGATTGAGACATGGGTCCTTGAGGATCTCGAGGTGTCCTCTGAGGTTACCCTGCATCAACTTGAGTGAAGAAACTGTTTTCAGTGATAGGGCACTTAAGGCTGCCTCCTTTTGTATACAGGTGTCTCACGTAACTGGTTCGTTAGAACTTTTTTAGGTTCGAGTATTCGTACAGTTTTGAAATTTTTGTAGTATGGGTTGTTCAGTCGGAACTTTCGACCTAAAATATTTTCAAGATGGCTCCCACTTCCGGTCTACCGGAAGTAGACCATAACTTCGTTATTTTAAATGGAATGCCCTAGTTTTTATTCCACTTTTTCATTGTACGTAAAAAAATATGTTGTTTTTCATAAAAGTTATTGTTACCTAGCGTTTTTCGTTGTCGAGTTATTTTGATTTTAAGGTTTTTTTGGCAAATTTCACCATGCTCTTTAAAATCCTATATTCCAGCCAACGTTCATTCAAAAAAGCTCTAAATTGGCATGATTACTCTTCAGATGCTCTCAAATAGATTGTCATATATTGTATCAGAGTATCTTATACAGGTGGTCAAAAATTGAATTACCGTTTCTCCGTATTCAATGGGGAGAAAGTCGAAAATTTTAAATAGTTTATTAATATTTTATTAACCTAGGCGAAAGGAAATTTAATTCTCTACAATTTATCTATAAACATTACTATACCTATCTATTGTAGTTTCTCTCATATTCATAAATTTATCAAAACATGCAGGAAACCGTTTGTATTTTTATTAGAAGGCCATGACATTTTGATAGTTTTTTGTTTAATTTATTTCTATTATTATTTGTACTATTAATTACGATTGATAATCTTTTAGTTTACTAGCTTTTACTTACCAAAAATAATAAACAGAAGATCANTACACGTTGCCAGTTTTCCGTAATCGCTAAGTCAATCTTAAAAACACTTTTAGAGAAAAATGTCTTTCTTTGTCGTAATTGCATTGCACAATTTTGCCATGCAGTTGCATCGTATTCGAAACATTGAAAATAAATCATCATACGCTTGTGCGTTAGTAAATGACATGTTTACAGTTACCAGGTTATGTGATTTGTTTTTCTCGATGAGGTAACTGGATCCGATTGAA